ATGATGCTTACTTACCAATGGGATGAGTGCCTTGCACCTAGCTGCATGCTCTTCGACACACATTTTAATTACTGCATACTTTGAATGCTTCTGCTTTCGGCATTTTCTTCTTCATGTTTATTTGCTTTTGTGATAGAATCGTTCACGTTTTGTGGGTATATTTGTCTATTAAATGCACATAATTTTGTTGTTTGAACGTACACTGTTACATGCATTTTTGCTATTCTGTAAGCGTATTGACATTATTATTGCTTCACTTTTGCTTTATTGTAATGTATATTTGTGTTCTGGATTTGACTCACTAACCTTCTTCCAACCCATAAACATGCTTATTCATTGCTTAGTGTTTGTTTAGGATTGTTTGTCTAGATTCCCTTATTATTTTTCCTGCATTGGGGGGGGAATTGTAATGTTAGTCATCATAAAAATCTCTGTATGTCTTTGAATATATATGTATTGGGCAGGTAGGCAGTGAAGTGAATAGAGTGCTGGGTGTGGAGACTCATCTTCATGAATTCAAATAGGGTGTCAGTTACTTATTAGCTGTGTGACCCTAGGCAAGTCACTTCACCCTGTTTGCCTCAGTTTCCTCATCTGTAAAATGAGCTAGAGAAGGAAATGACAAACCACTCCAGTATCTTTGCCAAGAAAACCCTAAATGGGGTCATGAAGAGCTGGACATGACTGAAATGAGTAAACAACAAACAACATGTATGTATTGCTATGACATGTACATGTAGTAGGTTCTGTATATGATTTAGACCTGTGGTCACTGAAGCACCCTGTTGAGAGATGATTCTTTATACTCTGTATAGTGTAGGTATTTGCTGAGATTGGCACCCTGAGATGATTACCTGGGATTTCAGGTTAATCATCCTTGTTCTGTTCAGTGCTGGTGTTTATTTTGGTTAGAGAGCTAGACCTCAAGTCAGGAACACCTGAGTTCAAATCCTGATTAGCTGTATGACCCTCGAAAAGTCACTTTACCCTGTTTGCCTCATTTTCCTCATTTGTAATGTGAGCTGGAGAAGGAAATGGCAAACCACTCCAGTATCTTTGCCAAGAAAACCCCAGAAGAGTTGGATGACTGAACAATAACAACTCTTACTAGCTATGTGATCCTGGGCAAGTCATTTAACCTCTATCTGCCTCAGTTAAATCCCTTTGCAAACACAAAGAAACTATATAAATGCTATGATGATGATGATATGATATATAATTCTAGATACTGAACACACTGTGGCTGATTTTGCAAGGAACTGTAACATTTCTAACCCCGGGAAAAAACACAATAAATGGATTTACCAATGTTTGAGACTTAGAGAGCCTGAAAACTGAAACTGAAAACTGAAAGCTCAGTTTCTCTTTTCCCAGGGAGCTGTAAGAAGAGATGTTACTCACCTTCCCTAGGAGCTAAAAGCATATTGCTCAAGGAGATGACATCAGAAGTATACAAGTGTTGAATTTTAGTATGGACTGTATCTGGGGAGGGCCAGCCTCTGGGAGACTTGGAAGACACTTAGTTATTTGCTAATAATGATGATGGCAAAAAATCTTACCACCCTGACTCCTACTTTACTTTGGCTCTTTCCCAGGGAATCTGTTTTCCATTCCTCACTCTTTTAAAATATTTATTTGCTTTCTGTTTTTCAGTTATTTCCTTTAAAGAAACTAGTTACTCCAAACTGTTTGTTGATTACATCATGGGTGTTATCGTGTGACCTGGGGGGTGGGGAGGATTAAAAGCTACCCTAGGAAAAGCTAAGAGAGTTAGATTTTGCAACTGTAATAACATATATTTTTGTTAGAGAAATTCTTTCTGACTGAGGGCTCAAAACAAACCAAAGAGATTTTTATGATGACTATTATTATAATTTTCCCCAAACAGGAAAAATAAGGGAATCTAGAAAATGACCCTAGACAAAGACTAAGCTATGAGTAAGCATTTTTCGTGGTGGGAGGAAGTGTGGTGAATAGAATCTAAAGGAAGCTGGAGTGAGGCAGTGGCCAGCATGCTAGAGGCTCAAGCCTGTCCCCTGCAGACCTCCCCTCATCCCTTCCAGTTAGGGAGAAGAAAAAGGTGATAATTAGAGAAAAGGTTAACACCCTTGGAGACTCAGGAATGGTGGAGTTGGGAAAGAGCAGCTCCCTCACCTCATAGCAGCAGTAAACTGACTGACTGAGTTGGGTTCAGGAAATAAAAATAGGAGCCAAAAGAGAGACAGTTCCTGCCCTTTTAATGAATGAAGAATTGGTTGTTTCATTGTTTCCATTTTGGAGTTTTCTTGGCAAAGATACTGGAGTGGTTTGCCATTTCCTTCTCCAACTCATTTTGCAGATGAGGAAATTGAGGCAAACAGGATTAAGTGACTTGCCCAAGGTCACACTGCTAGTAAATCTCTGAGGTCACATTTGAACTGAAGTCTTCCTGACTTCAGGCCTGGCACTCTATCTGGCGCCACCTAGCTACTAGAAAAGGTTAAAATAAGGTGCCTGGAGGCTGGGGTGGGGAGGCAGTAAAGAGAAAACCCTAGAGGAGAATCTGGAGTGCAGGCTGGAGAGAAATTTAGACCTGGGAGGGTCCTGGGGGTGGTGGTGGTGGTGATGTCTATCCTTAAAATGGAGATTCTGGGAGAAGCCATCCAATCAGAGGGAGAGGCCATAGCTGAAGGTGCTTCCAATGTGTGAAGTCCATGGCTGGAGTGAGCTTTTGGGCTGTTTTTTTTTTTTTTCCCCAGTTGTGTACAATTCTCTGTGACCCCATTTCGGGTTTTCTTGACAAAGATACTAGAGTGGTTTGCCATTTGTTTCTCCAGTTCATTTTACAGATGAGGAAACTGAGGCAAACAGAGACAGGGACATACAGCTAGTAAGTATCTGAAGCCAGATTTGAATGAAGACAAGTCTTCCTGATTTCAGTAGCAGAGCTCCATCTACCTTGCCACCTAGCTGCCCATGAAGTGAGCTTCCTAATGCCTAATGACCAGATCTGATTACATTACTCTACTGCTCAAAAATATTAAATGACATTTTTTTAAACTCCCAATGAGGAAATAATACTCTGCAACTTAGTCTCAGTGGTTGGGACTCTGAGAGGGTATGTTTTGCCAAAAATCACAGATGTCAGAGATGGAGCTTCCTCATTAAGATTATATACCAAGCTGACTCCTTTCCATTCTCAAATATAATCCAACTATTTATACCCTTACACGATTCTTTCATTAATCCTGACCACAAACTACTTTTCTGGCCTTATTTCCAACTCTTCTCTTCAAGTACCCTTCACCTCTAACCAAATAATTACTTATTGTTACACAACACCTTTCAGTTGTTGCAAAGACCTCCCCTTTCCACTAAATCGATGCTTATTAAAAAGCCTACCCATCAATCCCAATTTAAAAGCCACCTCCCCACGAAGCCTTCCATGATCCCTCCTAGATACAAATCAGGAAACCTTCCCCAACCCCTCTTAATTCCAGTGTTAATGATTTCCTGTTTATCCAGTAATATAACTTGCTCTGGGCAGCTAGGTGGCACAGTGGATAGAGTGCCAGGCTTGGAGTCAGGAAGACCTGAGTTCAAATTTGACCTCACATACTAGCTGTGGGAGCCTGGGCAAATCACTTAACTTTGTTTGCCTCAGTTTTCTCATCAGTAAAATAAACTGGAGAAGGAGATGGTAAATCACTCCATATCTTTGGAGTCAGAAATCACTGAACAACAATAACTTGCTTTGTACATATTTGCCTTCCCCGTTAGATTGCAAAATTTTTGAGGTCAGAGACTGTTTCTTTCCTCTTTTTGCATCCCCTAGGCTTAGTATAGTGTCTGGCACATAGTAGGGGATGAGGTCTAGAGGTTAGGGGTGCTAGAATCCCAAAATCACTACACTAGAGTCCTGCCCAAAAGAATTCGACTCAAGCCTTCTTTCAGCCAAAGACAAGGTTTATTAAAGATCCGCTATATTAGCCATAGTCTTGAGGAATCAGAGTCTGTGAGGTATTGCCTAGATTCTAAGAATCAGAGCAGTGGCTAGATTTTAGGAATCTGAGCCTTTTAATGGAGACTAGATGGACCTTATATACGGAAAGACTGTGGGAGGGATCTAGGAGTGGCCAAGTAGTCTGGGGTGACTAGAGGAGGGATCTAAGGAGGATCTGGGAGTGGCCAGTAAGCTGGGGTGAACAGAACTCCTGGGACCCGGACAATGGCCTAGCTAGGATTAAGTGTGGGAAATGGCCGGGGGCCATAGGGAAGGCTAGGCTAGGTTGAGGGTAACAGAATTGAGAGGTTGGGTGTAGCCACAATGAAAGGCCAGTTGATGGGATTATAGCCTCAGGGGAATGCAGGAAATTTGGCCAAGTGGGAAAGTACAGGATTTTTCCTTTCTGGGGTCCAGATCCCAACCCCATCAGTAGGCACTTAATAAATGTTGATAGGTTGATTGTTCCCTCTCTGAATCCCTGACACTTTATTTATATTTTCTTTATGTAATTATGTTTTATCTTGAAATATACTTGTGAACATGTCTTAATTTCTTTTCTTGCACAGTAAATTTCTGAAGGTAAACTAAACAAGCATTTATGAAGTGCCAGGCACTAGACTGGGAGGAAACCCTTCTTGCCCATAGGGAGTTTATATTCTATAGTAGGAGACAAGGCTCTGGTTTCCCTTCCTAGTGTTTTGAGCACGCTAGGGCTAGATGAATGTGTAGGGTAGAACAGAAGTAGGCCCGGGGTGGGGGTGGGGGGGTTGCCCCGGGACTGCTCCCAGGGCGGGGGAGGCGCCGGCGAGAGGGGGGAGGGGTGGCGCCGCGGACCTTCCCGCGGTGGAAGCCGGAACCTTGTTTCCGGCTCTGCGTGCCGGGGGAGCGTGTTGAGCGTTGCACCGGGACGTCGGCTGCAGTCTAAGGCCGGGCGGGCGGAGCTGGAGCGGCGGCCGTGGCTGCGGAGCGGGCAGAGGAGCGAGGCCGGGGCCAGGGCTGGCGTTGGAGCCGGAGCTGCGGGACTCGGGGCGGCGGGCGGCGGGGGCCGGGCGCCGGGGTCCGGCGACGGCAGCGGCGGCCATGGCCGAGAGCATCGTGAGTCAGTTCCCCGCGGGCCGGCCGGTGCGGGCGGGGAGGGCGATCCGAGTGGGGCGCCTCCGGGATGAGGCAGCAGATTTCACCGCCAAGGCCTGCGGGGCGTGGACCCGCGTCTCCCTCGCCCCCTGGCACTCGGGCCTTCTGGCTTCCCCCTTTCCCTGGCCCTGCCATCTGGGCCCTTTCTCATCCTCGGCCTTCTCCGGGACGCAGCCTCCGAGGGACCGCCGGGGTCCGGGGGAGAGTCTGGGGAACACCCCGACCTTGGGGGCCAGGAGAGGAAAAGTCCCAACTAAAGAGAGCCCCCCTCTCTACTCCCAGAGCAGCCGCCACAACCCGACCCGCTTTAATCACCGCCCCTTTTCTCCTTTCTGCCCCCCACCTTCTCTTCCTCCTTACGAATTCCAAGGAGCAGAGTAGCTACAAATAAGGGCACCACAGAAAAAACCTCCCTCTCCTTCAGAGGAGGTTCAGAACAAAAGTACAGTAATGTGACTTTTTTTTTTTAATTTCCAAGAAAAACTTGTTAAATGCATGCCTAAAAGGAACATGGTAAAGGAAGTTCATTTTTCTTTCCTTGACTTCTGCTTGGAAAATCAGACTTCATCGCCCATTAAGACCTTACAGCAAAATTAAATCTTAATCAGAAAGCACAGAAACTGGTTGTTTCTTAGGCTGTGATAAGTTTTAAGTGCTTTACGAAAGAAGCAAATGACTCAGGAAAATTATCAGAGATGATTGGGGCAGTAGCATTTTGGTGGTAAATAAAGAATGTGAAGGGAAGTAGCTGTGGAGTGAAATGAGGGATTTTTGGGCTTGGGGATGGTGCTTCTTGCACCTGCTGTTTGGGCAGCTCTTGGTGAAACCGGCCCTCCGTGGATATCTGTGTTGAGCCAAACTTATTCGTTCTAGACTTTTCACTAACCTCACCTGCCTCTATTTAGCTTTCTGTTTTATGGCACCAGATTACTGGCGATTCTATCTTTAGGGAGGAAGAGAAGGAGTAGTATAAGAAAAATTAAGGAAATAAAATATTGATGCTTTTAAATGCAAGGTTGCAGAAATAAAAAAAAGGTTACAGAAATCAAGTGACTTGGGGCTCGAAATGGGTTACAAACTGTTGGTAGTTTAAAAAGTTGCATTAGTGCTTTCTGTTTACAGGAAAACTAAACCATTCTATTTAGGGTAAGAGTGGTCAGATCTTGTTACAGAAAAAGTTCTTAAGTCTAGTGATATCCAGAAAAAAACTGCTTTTGGTTAGGCTTTCCCACAATTAATAAAGCTAGGTATCTTGTGGAAATGTTTTGACTAAACACATTTACACATACTACACTTTTGAAATCTATTTATTTTTTAGGGCTTCTAAAGAATATTGAGTATATTGTTGAGATAATCAAATCAGTCAAAAGCAAAGCCAAGGGTCTAACTGTAACCTATAGTCTAGGTCACAGGGTGGGGAACCCCTAGGTCCTTGGGTGCAACCTTTTCACTGAATCCATCTTTTACCGAACAAATCCTTTTGTTAAGGGGATTTGTGCTGTGCAGTTTGCATTCAGTCAAAGGGCTGAACTTGAGGACCTAGAGTGCCTTGAGGCCACAGGTTCCACACCCCTGGACTCTAGGAACTTATTTAAAAATATTTTGGTAACTATTCTTCAGTATAATTGTTTTCCTTTGTAAGTCTTTGTATATGAGTTTATGGATTTAAAAAAATTATTCTGAGAAGGGGTATGTAGGTTCGCCAAACTGCCAAAGGGATCTGTGCCCTCCCCCCCCAAAAAAAGGTTAAAGCCCCTAAAATTTTAATTCTGAACATTCTGTTTTTGTTAATTACATACTAGCTATCATAGTAGTCCTTGTTTTATGCATGGAGATATTTTGTAGTTTTACACTCAGGTCTGTGTCTCTTCTTGTGTCTTCAAGAACTAGTACAAATTAGTTTTATCTTTTATTACCAGAAAACTTGAAATTGATTTGGGAGCATATACAGTTCTACTCTGTTTAAAATTATCAAATCAGAATAAATTCTTTAGTTTGAGGAACTACTTCACAAATCTGGGATTCAGTCTCTTAGAAGAGAAATAAGTACCTTGTGTTTTTGAGCAGAATTGATCAGTTCAGGAACTAGTTTTAATATTCCTAATTATTGTGGGAGAACAGGCAGCTGAATATTTTTTCCTAGTTAATTTAGAACTTGAGGATTCAAATGTTAATGGAACTGTTTTTGTAAATATTTATGTGTTTTACATTGAAGTATTGAAGTACTTTCTAATGTGGAGACATTTACAGAAATTTGAATCCACATGTGAGATGAACAATCCAAAAATTAAAAGGGCTTAAAAGAGTTAAAAAGTTTAGGGTAAAACATAAATTAATTTTTTCTAAACTTTTAATGAATGGGATGTCCATAATGTTCATCCAGAGAAATAAACTGCCTTAAATTTAGAAATCGACTACAGAGTTTTTTCAGACAGAAGTTAGTGATTTATTAGATGACAAAAAAGATGTCCCATTGTTATAGTATAATGAGTACTGAATTTGGAGTCAGAGGACCTGAGTTTAAATTCTGAGTCTTTTGCTTATTATCTGTGACCTTGGGAAAATCATCTCACATTTCTCAGTCTGTTTCCTTATTTGCAGAACAAGGGGATTGGACTCTATGTTTAAGATTCCTTTTAGCTCCAAATCCTGTGATCCTTTGTTTTAGGAGGACATGAATTAGTCTTGATGAATTCTATCCCAGAATGTGTCAAGTTCAAGGAGTCATGAGCCAGTGGGGCATTTTGCCATGTAATAGTGGAAATAATTTTTAACAGATCATACATTTCTCACACTTTTATCCAATAAACAGTACAGTACATGTTGAGAAAAATAACTATAGCAGAAGTTCTTCCCGGCAGTCTGTTGTTGCATGGACAGTTTCTGTTCATATGGTTGGAGCAGCATTTATTTTTCCACAATATTGTCCTTCTGTTTCAACAGCACTGTTTGAATGAAGCAATAACTTTGATTCAAACGTAAAATTTAAGTCCTCCTCAGAAGTGGTGACCTCTGCCCAGTGGACAAACATATCTACTTCCCAGCTTATTATAAAAACTGTAGAGGCAGTGTGGTATAGTGGATAGAACCTGGAAGACCTGGGCCCAAGTCCCACCTCTGACAATTAGTGGTTATGTGACCCTGGGCAAGTCACTTAATCTCTTAGCAACTCAGCCAGCTCTCTAAAACTAGATTGCAGAGAAGGCACCTGTCTGCATTAGCAGAGGAAGTTTCCTCATTGGAAGTTCCCTAGACTAGTGAAAAACAGTCCCAGTTTCTATCCTCTCTTCCTATAAAAATGCATTTAAGTTTTCTCTATTATGGCACAGGACTATATTTCTTAATTCTTTTTCACTTCTTACCAAGGATAAGTGGAAGTTTGATTTCTTGTACTACAGGTCAGTCAGTGCTTTTGTAAAAGGATTCCAGAATCAAGTGAATTCCTTTTCAGAAGGACTTTGAATCTTCTTTCAGTGATAATTCATGTTTTCTTTCATGAATAAATCTCTAAGGTTCAGGATAAAAATAATCTCACTGTCCCAGATCTAGTCTTTTATAATTCCTAAAATGCAAGCTGTGTTATTCAGCACAAAATGTAAAACCATTGCTCTTTTCAAAGTAATCTTAAACTTGCAAGTCAGGGCTATGCTTTTAGATAACACAACATTACCTGATGATGATTGCAAATCTTCCTTTTCACCATTTCATTTTCTAGAAAGAATTGATTTGGTATTGAGAAGAAAGAAAAAGAGTGTGGTCCATGGCTTCTGAAGTTTGTGACAGTCTTTGTTTTAGTGCTGAAAAGCTACTGTCATTTTTGTCTCAACCAGATAATGGGACAGGACTTTGTTTCTTCTCAGTACCTCTTTTTTGTTTCATTTTTAACAGATAATCCGTGTCCAGTCACCAGAGGGGGTGAAGCGTATCACTGCAACAAAGAGAGAAACAGCTGCAACATTTTTGAAAAAGGTATTTGTGACTTTGGTGTTTACCTTTCAGCAGTTTACCCTTCTCTGCTTGCCATTCTTCTCTCTCTGACAACCCCCCTCTCCTCCCAACCAGTGTCTTCACTCTCTTCTCCCCTATCCCTGTGGTCATAATTGGGTCAGCATTCTGTAAAATCCTGGGGTTGGGTTTGTAACAAAACTGATTGGCACTTGGGATCTTACAAGATGACTTACTGGTGAAGCTATTAAAACATTTTTTGAAAACTAAAAGATATTTAATTTAAACTATATTTCTATTTGTTGTTGATGCTCTTTGTTACCTACCCACGTTAGAAACAATTTGAATATGTAAACAATATGAATAAAAGAAGAAAGGCCATAAAATAGTAACTGCAAGGCTCAAAGGGGTCTTGCTGATATTTTAAATTTACTCTTCTTTTTGCTTTTTTAATGAGTGATAGACATTTGCTAGCATTTTTTTTAGACATGAGGAGGTGATACTGGTGCTCTGTATGAGATCTCTTCATGGACTATATCAGAGAGATAAAAGATTTAACTGAACTGAAGTAAAGTGACTTACTAAAAAGGTTGTAGGGGAGAGTATGAACTAGAAATATGAAGAATAAATTGAATTAATTATTCTTTACTTTGAATTTTTGAGGTTATGAAATTGCTACAAGCATTCTAGATTTGACTCTTATTTGCTAGAGGCTTTGATGTTCAGTTTCAGAAATAGAATTATCAAACAAGAAACATCAACATTTGCTTTTTTCCTGAGGGAAAACTAGACGACAGACCTTGGAGTTCTGACGTTGATTTGCTAGCAGAAGAGCTTGATTTATAATCCCAGTACTTCCCTCCTAGCAGTTTATGTTGCATCTTGCCTTTCTTAGCGAGAGTGCATACATAACAGCCCCAGCTGTTGATAGTCTGGAGGGATTATATTGATGGGATGTGATTTGTGAGCATTGTTGTTTCTACTCTCTTCAGCAGACCATCATAGAGCACCTATTGGCCAGGTGAAATTTCCCAGAATTATTCATAAAAATAAAGGCAGAACTGGTCTGAAACGTGCTTTTAAAGTGCATCCCATCCTGTCCCTTCAAAAAAAATGCCTTAAGAAAAGTAAGGGTAGTAAGTATTATTAACTCTTCCTATTCTATCTGTGTCACCATTTTATAAATAATCTCATTAATATAAATGTCTTGTCATCTAGTCCTTAATAGCATCATACTTGATAACATTTGATAACTAGTTTAATATTTTACTTTGTTTCACCATGGGAATTTAGTATTTCCAACTCTGGTTTTTAAAAGTTTGTTGCATATATTTCATAGAATTGTGGAGATTTTAGACCTTTATTCAGGTCTTCTACACAACTCATTAATCCCTTCTACAAGATTTCTGATATTGTTTACCTTTGACTTTGTTGAAAGATGTTTTTTAAAAGCAAAGTAAGCAACTGATATAGAGTTGACCATTTGAAAGATGAAGTGATTCTTGTGCTTCTGTTATATGTCTTTAGGGCAACTGTTGAATATCAAGTCAGTCTGTTGTAAGATGCTCTTTACATTAATTTGTTTTTTTTAAAAATTCTTAAAAATCAATAAAGATCAAGTTTCATCATTTACTTTGACTTGGTTTTTTTGTTTTTTTTTAATTTAGTGCATCCAGCTACACTTAAAAACATATTTTAAAACCATGGAAGAAACAAATTCATCAGAGACTTGCTTTTTAAAATACAAAACAAGAAAGAAGGAACAGTGAAGTGTTTCCCTTACTTCATTGTCTCTCTGTTCCAATGTGTCTTGCAAATGGCTGCCAAAGTAATCTTTTTAATGTGCAGCTTTGATCACGTACCTCCACCACTCAAAAACCTTTCATGGTTCTCTGTTGTCTGTTGAATAAACTACAACTCTGTGAGCTTCACAGCCAGGGCCCACCACAGTTTGACACCCACTTTCCTTTTTAGCTTAATCTGACAATACTCCCCATTATATCTTTCATTATCCAGCTAAATTGGACTACTCATCATTCCATTGAATTTGTCTCACTTCTTTATTTCTTTGTACCTTTGCTCTGACCATAGAATGTATTCCCCATCCCCTGTTCCTCATCTCTTCCTGTTGAAATAATCCTCATCCTTTGAGATCCAACTCCGTTAGGAAACCTTCCATGATCTTTCACCCAACACTGCTCTCTAGTTAAAAGTATTTTACTTGTAACTCTCATAGCAGTTCAGACATAAAACACTATATTAAATCAGGAATCAATATTATTATTATTGTTGTTTCTCTAGTAAAGTCCTATTCTAATACATCCATGGTATGAAGGTGACCCTGGATTCTTGAAGACTGCCAGCAAATCACAAAACTTTGGCAGGTCTTACCAATCTGATTGGATTCAAATAGGGGCTTGGCAGTGGATTGTAGGGCTGGTATCAAGGTCCAGTGTAGCTGAATTTAAAGAAACTCATCACCAGGAGATTGATTTTGGGGGAGGAGGTGGGGGAGAGCATGAAAGGATGGGGGAGGGGCATGGCAGATTGTTAGGAAGACTTGTCTATTAACAAACAGAAGATTGAAATCTTTTTTGTAGTGGAAATGCCTACACTAATTAAATACGAATACTTGAAAATTGAAGTATAATCATTGTTATTTGTACCATTTCTATGCATTTATATTCTGATTTGTATTAGTTACTTATCTTTCCTGTTAAATTATAAATTATTTGAAGAAGAAACTGTTTTATTCATCTACCTTGTACAGAGTTGATGCTTAATTAATGTTGAATCAATTGTGATTATATCTTTTGCTTTATATTTTCATTAAATTTATTTAACCATATTTTCTGTTGACAATCTGTATGTTTGTTCAGGGGATTGGCTCCTTTCGAACTTAATTTCCTTACTCTAATTGACTCTAGAGTGAGCAGCATATATGTAGGAGGTGCCACCTTTCAGAGGGAATTCATTTTCTTGGAAACTACTCAAAAGTTAGCAAAATAGTAATGAAGGATCCCATCAAATGTAGTATTTTCTGAACCTAAGAACTTAGAAAATCTGGGTGTATTCGTGTGTGTGTGTGTGTGTGTGTGTGCGCGCGCGCACGCGCGCGCATGCATATGTACATGTGTGTTTATACCTTTGTTGTTTTGGGTTTGTTTTAGGTTGCAAAGGAGTTTGGCTTCCGGAACAATGGTTTCTCAGTTTACATCAATAGAAACAAGACAGGAGAGATAACAGCATCACCAAACAAATCCCTCAACCTGTTAAAAATTAAGTAAGTACTCAGTGGGTAGAATTTCATGTGGCAGGTGTTGTCTGCTTGAGGTAAATTCATTTGTAACTTATCTCCTCAGGGCAGTCTAGATACTTTGCTATTTACAGACCAATATATGGGCTGTCATATTTCTTGCAAGGTGTTAAGCAGTCAAACTGAGTCTGCAGTTACTGTTGAGCTAGATTTGATTGACTTGCAGTATTCTGAGAGGTATGTCATTGAGGGAAAAGATTTGTAGCCTAAGTGTACTGAGATTGTATAAGCTGCACACTCAGCTTCTTAGGAACAAAAGACCTTGAATGTAGTTCTTTGGGAAGAAATCAAGTCAATTAACTTTATACCTGAAGACCTCTGTTGTGCATGAGTGTCGACAGTGGTTTCCCCGAAAGCTGCTGTTTTTTTTTTCAGGTAGCAGAATCCTCTTGAAGACATTGCTTCATCTGTAGCCAGACTCCAGTGCCAGTGGGGACTCCCACTCAATAGTCTTCTGATTTCACTGTTGTACCACACTGAAGCAGGTTTTCTGGATGTACTGTAATCACATTTGTAGCCTGTAGAACCCTTAAGTTAGTACAATCTCAAGGCACTATGGATTCCAGGGATCTCCTCCTTGGAGCGCTATATGGCATGAATTCTGTGGCTCTCAGGTGTATGTTTGGTGTGTTGCTGTGTGGCCAACATTGTATGGGTCTAATCTGTCAAGAAGCAGATGTTTTGTAATAGGCATTAAGATTTTTATAAAGCTTTTTGAACATTATACTTAGAAGAAACACATGATAGTGCAAATTATAGGCATCTTTAGCGTCATTCTAGTACATAATAGGTGCTTAATAAATGTTTTTGATTGATCTCACATGTAACGTTACTCTGACCAGTGTCATTTCTCATGTTATTAATTTGTTATCAGCAAACCTCATTATGATATTGCAAGACCCTGCAGTCTGGCCAGTTGTTAGAGTTGCAAATTATATAGTCAGCAATAATCCAAGATAATAGTTGAATCCCAGTATAACTAATTCTCCTGAGCATCAGTTTCCATACTGGGGGCCATATTGTTTATTTGCATGTGCCTTCCTCTGCTGGAACTAGCTGCTCCCTCATAATGTTTGCCTATGTGTTTTCCAGGAACCAATTAATGTTATGTCAGTTGTTTATCATCAGCATTTATTAAGCATTTTCTATGTGCCAGACATAAAAAGAAAAATGGAAACCCTTACTGCCCTCAAGGAACTCATATTCTAGTGAGGGGGACAACGTGTGAACAACTATGTACATACAAGATATATAGAGAATAGAGAAGAGGTAATCTTGGGGGAAGACACTAGCAGTGTGGGGGACCAGGAAAGACTTTCTGAGGAGGGTGGGCTTTGAGCTGAGTCTTAAAGGAAGCCAGGACAGTTAAAAGGCAGAGGTGAGAGAATTTTCGGCTTGCTAGATAGCTAGTGCAGAGACACTGCTGGAGAAGGAGGCTTGTGTGTGAGGAACAGGAAATGACCAATGTCAATGGAGTGTAAGAGTCATGGAAAAGGTAGAAAGAGGTCAGGTTGTGAAGGACTTCACATACCAGACAGATTTCATATACAAACCTAGAGGTCATAAGGAACCAGTATATGCATTTCTGTTATTGGAAATGTTTGTGCTCCTTAATTTGTATAGACATATATTACATCTTAAGAACCATCTTTCAGGTGTTAGGTCATCTTTTATCCTGTTCTGGTTTTCTGGTATTAGAGAGAGTAGAAAAAATGGAACTCTATATAGAGCAAAGGAGATGAAAAGAACTGATAATACTTTAATAAAAATATTAACAATAATAATAGTAAACTGACTTAAAAGTTTGCAAAGTGTTTTATCTATATTATATCATTTGAGCCTCACAACAGCATTATAAAGCAGGTCACAGTTTGTAGAAGAGTTAGCTTAAGCTTAGCAATCATAAGTGACTTGCACAGGGTCACACAGGTAAACAGCAGAAATAGAATACAAACCAGAGGCCTCTGAACGCAAATTCATGCAATTTTTGGTTCTAAACACCTGTAAGTCAAGTATAATTAGTAAGTAGATTGTCTTAACTTCTTAATTTTATACCCCATCTCTATATACCTGAAGTGCTTTGAGGCCCAGGAGCCTCTAGGATGATCAAAATAAAGTGCATTAGCAAAGATAATTTTTATATAGTACCAGATTATAGTACTTTGAATTTAGAATGTTAATTGGGTTTTCTTTTGAGTCACCAGTATAAATCTGTGCTAGAGAACACGTTGTACATTTAAAATGATGGAAAATTTGCTAACATTTTGTTTTTTGGAGTGTAGGACAATTAGAGATGACAAAGCAATATTTTTTTTATGCTAAAGAACATAAAACAAGAGGATGCTGGCATAATGAAAACTGAGACTTCATTGTAATAGTTGACGCAATCATTTACTTATGTTAGGGGGCCCTCCATATTTAGTTTGATTTTGTACTCAGGCTCACTCAATTACTATTGATAAAAGCATGTATTTGATGTTTCTTATTTGAATAGACATGGCGATTTGTTGTTCCTGTTTCCCTCGAGCCTTGCTGGACCCTCATCTGACATGGAAACTTCCTCCTCACAAGCATTACGTGCTTGGGGAGCTCCCAATGTGGTAGAAGATGAGATTGATCAATACCTTAGCAAACAGGATGGAAAGATTTACAGGAACCGAGACCCACAACTGTGAGTGTTGAGTGTGATCAAATAGTTCATTTCTTTCTTCTTTATTTAAGCAATCTTAATAAAGACAAATGATAGGGGGAATCATAGGGATATGTAAGGGGCCAATGTGGGCCGATAACCAATAAAGCTAGGTATTGAAGCGTAAGTCTGAGTCTAATAAGTATCTAATGAAAAACTCGAGTATTGAATTTGAGTAATAATATCTAAATCATTTCTCAGATAAACTCATCAAATAATTTGGTTAGTTTTCTCTCAGAGACTCAGAATTTCTCTTAACATGCACTTTCAGAAGAATTTGTAAAGTCCTGGGAAAAAGTTTGAAAAATGTCCAAGGGAAAGAAGAAACTTTAAGTCTTTCCCTAAGAATGATTGCACTTAAGATCTACATTCTAAAAACTTACACTGACTCATTTAGGCAGCAAAATGAGGCTTGAACAGTTTGAAATGGGTAGAACTGAATTTTTTGCCAAAAAGTTATGACTGTAGTTTGGATTTGTAATAAACGTTTTTAATAGCATGTAAGTAAGCATTGTAAGGTCCTTCTACTTTGAGTTTTTCATTGCTCAAGAAATCACTTATTCTCTACATGTTTATATAAATCACATGCTTATGTAATGTGCACTCATACACATATTGAGGTTTTTTTTTAAGAGACCAAGAAATCTCTTGGTTTACGCTCAGAGATATCAGCATATCTCTGAGAGAAATTGTTTGTCTCTGTTGTACTGGCTCTTTTTTAACTATATAATTTTGTCAGCATGATGTAGTGCTGACATTGAAGAATTGAGATTTCAAATGCTGCATCAGCAACTTTTATTTCTTAGATTAAAGAACCACAAGTGGCACTCAGTTATAGTTGGCTTTTATCCATGTCTCCGCTGTAACCATTAGCACTCCTCTTCCATTTGGGTTTCCTCCTAGGAACCCATTACTTGCCTTCCTTTTTATTACCTGTGGCTTCATTGGAAATCTTTTCAAATTGGAATGTGCGTGTGTTTTTTAAACTTTGACATATTATCAATAGGAAATTATGTAGGAGAAGACATAGAGTAGAGGTGATGGGACAGTAAGAATGCACTGGTATGGAATACTGCATATGTGTCAGATTTGTCCGTTGTAATGATCAGTTTTGCTGAATTTTTTTTTCTCCTTTTAATTTCTTTTTAAAAAAAATTTTTGTTATAAGGAATAACTTTCCTAAGTAGAGAGGGAGATGGGAGAAATTAGGTGAAAAAATATGAAAGATATCAGTAAAAATCTTTAATAAAGAAATTATGAAAGCAGAAAAAAGGTGTTCTTAAACAGTCTTCTGAAGCTTTCTACATAATCATGTTTTAAGTGATACGTATTTTTAATGGGGAAAATGGTAGGCAGCAGCAGAAAAACAAACTAATCTATGTTCATTATTTTTTGGCCTGTGATCTTCCTAGTTGCCGACATGGTCCTTTGGGGAAATGTGTGCACTGTGTACCTCTAGAGGTAAGAATTTGTATGGGGGAGGGGAGTGGGAGTGTGAGTGTGAGCGTGTGCGTGCAAACTCGAACTCTATCACATATATTTTAGTGTTGGTTGATAGTCTCTTTCATAGAACTGTCTAAATACTTTCCCTAAATCTCTCCTTGATCAGTAGTAGCAGTTTGAAGAACTTAACGTATTTATTGCTGTGGGCCTCATATTCCCACCAGTGTGAGCTGCAGAAACAGGATGAGTCTTTACTTATGGTAGTGACCTTCTCTGTGGATTATGTATGGTTAAAGCATTTGTTTTCCTGTGATAAAGAGACACCATTTACAATAGACTCCCCAGCCAATCCTTTTAAAAAACTGACACAAAGCTGTGCTTGTCAGTTTTTATGCTTGTCATTGTATTGATTTACTTCTGCCTCGAATCTTAGGTCTCCTCTACCAATTTGCCCTGATGAGATTAAGAGTTTCCATGATAATGCTGACTGGTAACTAGGAGCCCTGAATTTATATAGCAAGACCACCTTGATTTTCTGGATAGGCTCACCTGACTTCTTGTGGCACTTTTTTTGTAAAGATCTTCCTTGAATTGGGGACTTTTTTTGGTGGAGCAGATATAAATATAGGGAGGAAATCTGTGGGGTTTTGAACAGAGTTGTAAATTAAAATGATGCATCCACTTTTTTTTTCCCCTGTCAGTAGTGCCTGGCTTACAGAGGGAGCACATGTTGCTAGGTTATTTTTCTGTAAGCAGTTGAATCCAGTTTGCTTGTTTTTCAGTAACCAGCATGTTTTTAGACAGGTGCATAACCAGACTCTTTTAACATTTGCATTTTGGCAGCCATTTGATGAAGATTACTTGAACCATCTTGAACCTCCTGTGAAGCATATGTCCTTCCATGCCTACATTCGAAAACTGACCGGAGGGGCTGATAAGTAAGCAATTAGACTACAATAATTGCATCTTAACAGAAAGGAATGCCTTTTTGCATTGCTAGCAGTCACCTCATGATTGCCATCAGGTATAGCAGTGATAAAAAACAGGATTGATTTAGTTTGTCATATGGGAAGAAACCCCCAAATTAATTAATTTTGTTCAAATTAGGGGGAAAAAAGTTAAGTTAGGTGATTGCCAATTAGGTAACCAGTGATAGGTGACTCTGAAGTTTAGTGGAGGTGTCTGTGAGGGGCTATATGGCATGATATAGACAGTATAGGACTGGGGAGTCAGGAAGACTTGAATTTGAACCCTACCTCCAGTGTGTGCTAGCTCGTTGACCCCCAGGCAAATGATATAACCTCTCTGGGCTTCAGTGACATGGGGGAATATTGATGATCTCTATGATTCTTTCTGGGTCTATATCATTCTATGCTTCTGGTCCTAGAATCAGAAACCCTACATAATGACCGTTGCGGAATCCTAGTGGACAATTTTAATGATCTCATCAGGCTCCTGGGTGTAATGCTTAAAGGGGGTAGATGAATAAGCTAGAGTATTGTGCAGTCTAAGACCACTCTACTATGGAAACATCAGGGTGGTTTTGGCTGGTGAATTTCTCAGCCTTTACTACCTGTTGTGGCTGTAGCTCTACTTTTCCAGTTTAGTTTTTATTCTTACAGAGGAAATTGGGTGGTGAGAATGATGGAACGTTGGCAGTTGGTGTTGGAAACACTTTTCCTCACTAATTAGACATCAACATGGAAATAAAAATGTAGCCCTAGCCAAAATTGAGTTTGATGGTGGTGACAGAAAAAGGATCAAGTTTAAAACATTTTGATTCGACCCATTTCAGACATTGCCTGTGGGGTTTTCTTCTGTGTGCTGGAGACACACCATTATCAAACAAGTGAATTTCACCTTAGTCTTTTAACATTCTTGTTAATATAGTAAGACTAGACAGTGATTGAACTCAAATCTGCAACATTTAGTGAAGAAAGCATTGTCCATTTGATTGCAGCTTTTGCTTCGACAAGCCATTGATATCTTAGAACACTTTTCCTTGAGTCTGTTTTGGAGGGAAAATAGAATCTCACTCTTATTCTTGCATGCCAGCATGTAAAACTCTGTAAATTGCCAAAATAAAAGCAGGAAGGGAGGTTTACTTAGTGGGACTTGCACTTTGTAAGGCTCTTAGTAATTAGAGGGCAATGGCAGACAGACCATGAACATTTATTTTTTTTTAGTCTATAGTGGTGTTATGAAAAATCTGTTGTAGTAGGTGAGGCATTTATTGTGACATCTGGAAAAATGGGCTTCATGTCTAAAAGTGTGTATTTATGTCTCATTTGCTGATATGCTGGCCTGTTATTGATTATGAAAATAGATTAATCACACCATTATGTTCACTTGTGTAATTTTAATACTTTTTCCTTAGGAAGACTGGCACCCTGTAATGAAGTTACTTGTCCAGACTCAACAAAAGCCAGTCAGTGATAGAATCAGATTTATAAACTCTTACTTTCTGGGTCGTTGCTCTTAACTTTGGTTTTGGCAAATAGAACAATTTTGTGTTTAACTGAACTAAGGTATGATTTTCTCACCAATACTTGTGTGTTTTTCTTGAATTATTTAAATGACTGAGATAGGTAGTTTATAATTATTAGGATAAAAAGTTGATAGCTAATGAAACTCATTAAAACAGCTTTGGAAAATTTTTAGAGGATAGTAGAATATAGCCAAAGAAGTAGACGTTAAACAGTGTTCTTGAAAATGTTCATAGATGTCAGTGACAGTAGATAGGTGATGGCAATAAAAATATTAGGTCTTTGTGATAACACTGGTTTTGTCCCTATTGAATCCAAAAGAACAGAAGCTCATTTTTTAAATGTGCCGGAATTTTAGCTATTTGTAATAGAATCATTTTTAGCACATGCTTCCTGCTCCTGTCTGCCAGATGTTTAGCTCCTTAGAGAGGATTCTGTTTATGAAATATAAGGTATTTAACATATTCTTTTGCATCTCTCTCTGCTCTCCCCAGGCCACATTTTGATATTTAATTAAAGCTGCTTTTTATTTAGGGGGAAATTTGTTGCCCTGGAGAATATCAGCTGCAAGATTAAATCTGGTTGTGAGGGACATCTTCCATGGCCTAATGGCATTTGTACCAAGTGCCAGCCAAGTGCCATCACCCTGAACAGACAGGTGAGTTGTTACATTGTAATAGAAGACTTTTAGAAAAGTGTCTCTTAAGCATCTAATATACAGGCAATAAGCATAAAAGGCACTTTGTGATTGATTGGTTTGTTGACTATTCTGAGGTCATCAGATTATCAGAGAAATTCAGTTTTTGAGGGGAGAGAAGAGGTTTGAGGGGAGGTTTTCCTTTTTCATTGCACCATATAGTACAGTGTTCTCTCTTGATAATGTCTAAAACATCATCAGTGTTTGTTTGTCCTGTACTCTGGGCAGTGGAGACTGGCAGGCTATAGCCCTCGTTTGATTCCCTCTAAGATAAAATGATTAACAAGCTCTTCCTTTTTGGTGCTTCTGAGTGCTTAGCAAAAGGTAAGTTTTGGGTTATAGAACACAACAGAGAACAAACTTCCTAACTCAAGGATATAGTAAAAGATGAAAATCAAATATAAAACTAATCAGAATATTCTGTACTCATTCTTTATCCCTAAATTAGAGTACTTTCATACATGCTTTTTCCCACTTGCCTCTCCCCCTCCTTTTTTCCTCTACTTTCCTAAGCATTGTGTATTTTATTTTCCATAAAGGTTATTAGAGCCAGCATTTTCATAAATAATCCTTTAAGACAGGGATTCTTAACCTGGGTCCATGAACTCTTAAAAAATATTTTTATAATTATTTCAGTATAATTGATTTCCTTTATGCATTCCAACAAGGATCCCTAGGCTTCACCAGCTTCCCAAAGAAGACCATGACACAAGAAAGGTTAAGAACCCTTGCTCTGAGATGAATTTGAGTTTTTGTAATGGTAATATTCCTCTAAGACTGGGTAAGAGTTTACCCTTTGCTGATTATCTTGGTTTGGGTGTTCAATAAGTGCATTGATTTCTCTTAGTCTCTTTAGTCCCATCACTGTTCCTGAAGTAGTCTTAGTATTTAAAGCTTCCTATTATCCCTTCACTTTGACCCATCTTTATTCCAGATATTTATTAGTTTTATTAATGATACTTATTTTTTAATGTTAATTTTTGGTCATGTTTCTCCATAAAATAGTATATATAGGAAATAGGGTTATAAATGGATTAATCTGGGAAAATAAATTGAGTACTGTGACTTTCATGAATCTCTTGGAGTGAAAGTCATCCTGGTGACCCTGATTCATTTGTTTCACAGAAATATCGGCATGTAGACAACATCATGTTTGAGAATCACACGGTTGCTGATCGTTTCCTTGACTTCTGGAGAAAGACTGGGAACCAGCATTTTGGGTACTTGTATGGACGGTATACAGAGCATAAAGACATTCCTCTTGGCATTAGGGCTGAGGTTGCTGCCATTTATGAACCCCCTCAGGTACAAACAAACAAACAAACAAACAAAAACCTCCAGGATTTGATAATTCATTGTCATCATTTTTTGTAGAACTAAAAGAAATCAAATTTCACCGGAATTTCCTATTCCTGAACACTGTTTGAATGCCATTATCAGTTAGCGTTTCTAAATTATCATGCTAAAAGTTTTCATTTGAATTAAGGGCCCTCTCCTCCCCATTTCAGTTAATAGTAAATAGTACTGTTTACAGGAGATAGCTTCCAAAGATGTGTACATTCATTCAACTTTGGAGTGGAGCTGGAAGCATTTATAGCACATTGGGTTCTGTTTGCAGTGACCTCATTGTTTGTCGTGATACTGGGGTGCTGAGAATTTGACAGCTCTACACAGGTGCAGTGTATGCTGCTAGAAAAGACCTGTAGTTTCCAGACCATTTGCTCCTTAGGCCTCATCTTGCCTGTGGATGCAATATAAGATGAGATTTGGGTGCTCAGATTTTGTTAGACATGACCTGTCTTTTTATCTGATTTTTCTAGAGCATTTCATTCGTAGTTCCTAAGCAGGAAATTCAGCCAATAGTATTTGCTACAGAATGTAGTTAATGAATAGTATTAGCTATGGCCACCAATTGGAACATGGAATATCTTTGGTTGCCACATATGTGTCATGTTTGTCTGGTAATGTTATGAAATGAAATTAAACCCCACATTGTATTTAGAACACAATGTAGGGTGTTGTGGGTCTTTTCTCTCTCTCTCTCTCTCTCTCTCTCTCTCCATGACTCATCATTTTGCCAAAGAGTCACTAGGTGGCAATGGAGATACTACTTAAGAAGCTTGGTTACTTTCAGTTTAGATCACATACTATACCATCTTGTGAAATTCCAAATTTGTAGATTATTTATCTGGAGCTATTTATCATAAACTATTAAAGTTTTAAAACTTTTTTTAAAAGTAACAGTTTTAAGAACATTTACTTGTAATTTTTTCCCAAGTTAAAATGGCTCTACCACATTCAGCTTCGTGGAATAGAATGATCAGGTCTCTAATTTGGAGATCCTAAATGTTGGAACAGTTGACCTTCAGCAACCCTTGAGCTCATTAGGAGTTGAAGCTCATGCTGCCACATGTCATTAAACAAGTACTTTTCTGTAAATTTGTAATAAAGTCTTCATTTGACCTGTGCCCTAGAGGTATTAATGATCTCCATATGGGGGCTATTTAGACCAACATAATGGCACTTTTGTTGGTTTGCCAAAATTTGACTAATTTACAAGGATATATTCAATTAGTAAAACTCAGTCTTGGGATTAACTTTGCCTTCCCACCCCTGCAACTGGGAGCTCTGCTAAGTATGATACTTATTCTTAATGAGCTACAAACTGCATTTAAGTGAAGATTAAAGTTCTTTAGTAAACTTCTTGACTACAAGGAAATAGGACAGTTGATGTTCTTTGATCAGTTTGTATGTCTTTAGGTATTATATTTCATGAGTAAACTCATCTCTAGAACACATGAGGGTCAGTTAATTTGTCACAGAACTAAATCTCCTGGCTACTGTGGTGTAATAAATAAGGTCCATATTTTGTGTCTCCTTTTGAATTTTTGTGGATTGATATCATCTCTTTTTTCTCTCTTACATAATATTTTGTGTTCTTTTACCTTTCAATATACTTTTAATGGCAGAGTAGCTATTAAGCTAAATGTCATTTTTAAACAAACCACACAAATATTTTTTCAGGCTGTTACTTCGGGTTTTTTTGTCTTAGCACTTGCCTTGGCTTTGATTTTGCTCTTAGCTTTAGTTGCTTCTGAACTGAACAAGCTCATCATTTGGAACAGGATTGCACTTCTAAAAATTACATTTTTCAAAGGGGGAAGAAGTGAGGACAACCTTCCATTAGTCTTTAGTGACAATATACTTAGAAAAAGAACTTTTATCCTAAACCTAAGCCATTATAAACAGTCTGTTTTCATTTTTTTTTCTGCTTGTTTCTCAGCAAAGCTATGTGCTTTGCAGATTTGGGAAGACCTGAGAGAGTTTGCCTTTGTTTTCAGTTGGTTGCGTAGAGTTCTTTTTCTGCCTGGACAATTCTCCTTTTCAGAGTATTTGCATCCAAACAATATGAGAGTGAACAGGGGTACCCGTGGTCCTGGGTATCAGTCTGGTGGTTACTCTACAACATATACTGTCTCTCTAATTCTCCCACAGGTCGGTACACAGAACAGCCTGGAGCTCCTGGAAGACCCCAAAGCTGAAGTAGTAGATGAGATTGCTGCCAAACTTGGCCTGAGAAAGGTACTGGGGCCTTCTGTCAGCTAGTCTGAGCCTTTGCAGGAAGGGATGTAGGGCATTGTATCGGGTGAATGGCAGGCAGGAGGGGTTTGTGTCATCTGGGATCGATTCTCTCCAGCTGCACAAGGTCAGTTGCAGACCTGACACATTTTGAAGCCTCATTTGTGTTTATTGGGCGCCAATAGCTTTTATGCTTTTTGGCCTTAAAGTGAAATGAGAACATTTCCCTGAGCATAAAAAGATCCAAATGCCAGAGCTGTTATACTTTAAGTCATCAGCCACCCTTCTTGAGGATTACATTAAAGAACAATCAAAGGAAGACCCTTTCTTTTCTGTCCCTGACAGGAGTATATTCCTGGAGTACTTCTTTTGCCATTACTACTCTGGTACAGTTCCCTGTCCTGGTTTCTCTTTTCTGTAGGGCTTTGTGTATATTTTTTGAGGTATTAGTACCCTCAAGGATTCCAATCCCTCTAAATTGTTCATTTTCTTTTCTCTATGGTTGTAGGTTCTATACAGTTGTCATTGAATTTTCTGTTTAAAAGCCTAAGAAGACAAGTCTTTTACTGTTTTATTTAGACTAGCCAAAAGTGAAAACAGAGGAGAATTTTCCCTTTGGTTGTGTTAATCTTGCTTATACTAAACCTTTGTAAAGCTGCTGGGTACTGTGGAGATATGTGAAAAGAAATGTGTGAAATATATGCATGAACATGACATTTTGGAAATTGCAGTATGGTGCAATGGAGAGAACACTGAACTTAAGAGTCACAGGACTCACATCCCTGCTTGACCACTTACTACCTTCATGACCTTGGACAAGTCACATAACCTTTCTGGCCTCAGTTTTTTCATCTGTAAAATGAGGGGGTTGGACCTTCCATCTCTAGGTCTATGAGCTTGTGACCTAACTAAATTTAAATGTCAAAGGACTTTTAAGTCTGACCTAACACAGTTTAAACATCAAGACTTGTAAGTCATATTTTGTTTTTTCATATTTTTGGGTCAATCTTAGCTGGCAGTGGAAATTAGATTCCTACAAATTTAGGGGAGAAAACTTAAAATGATTTCAAACCTAAAGTAAGGATCTTTGTGCCAAAGTTCTATCTTCTCAAGGTTCTATCTCTTTCAGCTATCTTCTCTTGAAAGAGAAATTAATATTTTGTGTCCATTTCTTCTACAAAACTATTAAGGGAAAAGGGAACAGGCACTTAAGTGCCTACTTTGTGCCAGGCACTGCTAAATACTTTACAGATACCTCATTTTATTGATAACTGATGATCATCATAGCAGCTTTTAGCTTTTAAATCTTTTCCCAAAGAGACTGAATTCCTAATTTGGCTTTTATAATGTTTCATTTATTGCCTAACCAAACTTGTGCCATAAGTTTTATTTTTCATTGTTGCCAACCTTCTCCAGTTTTTTTTTTTTTTTTAAGAAATTCCAGATTTAAAACCTTTCCTGATCTTGAGATACTGCTCTTCCAACTTGAATTTCACTACATTATTACTTGTGTGTTTCTGAATTAATTCTTTGCTATAGCTTTATAGCCTGCTTACTCCATTCGTGGATTTCTTTTGGACTAAGTCTTTTAGACTTAATCTCTCCTCTCCCTCCCCCTTTCTTTCCTTAAGCAGCTTTTTTAAAAGTCTGGCAAGCAAAATTAGTCGCATTGAACTCAGGTGGCCATATTACAGCAGCTGTGGCAAATGATACTAAATGTTCCCCAAGTATGGGGCGGTGGGGGGGTGGGGATGTGTATGTCTGTGTGTCTTTTTGTAAGAGATGAAAAAATGTTCTCTTCAGCTTCTCCCCATTCCAGGCTGATGGATATGACTGGAGTGCTTTAGCTGGGGAAGGTATAATCCAGAAAATTTTACATAGCTCTTTTTCCTAGTCCTTATTTAAGACTTTTGTCTTCTAAGGTATAATTGGGACACCAACATCCTTTGTAGTTTCTTCCTTCCTCCCTCCCTTCCTCTCTCTGGCTTACTTACCTTGTAGATAGGAATGAGTAGATGTTGGCCCAAAGAGGAGTCTGGTATTCTTTGTTATTTGCTGTAAATATAATCTTCAAGGTTATGAGAAGGCTAATTTTTGAAGATTCAGAATTGAAAATAGTGTTTTCTTCATATTGTTGGCACTTAGAGAAACATTCTTTCCTGGATCCATCTGTTCCTCCTAATTTTGTAACTACAAGGAGCTGTTCCTTGGTTGAAGAAGCTAATCAGGTTATTGGACCTAGGATTTTTTCCGTGATCAAATCCTACAAGAAGATAGAAACTTTGCCCTCCCTCCTGGCAGGGATAAAGAAGCATGGTGATGTGCAAAGAGAGACCCGAGTTCAAATTCTGGTCAGATCACTTACTGTCTGTGTGACCTTGAGCACAGTTTCCTCATCTGTAAAATAGAGATAATGCTGATGATCCAGTTGAGCTAGCTACCTCTCATGTTGTTGTTTTGGGAAAAATACTTTGTAAATCTTAAAGCATTATGTAGATGTGTGAGATACTGTTACTTCTTTCCAGCCTTTTTGATTCCATGGGTCATGAGGCTTTATTTGTTTGTCAACTAGGTACCCCATGCTGGCTCAGAAAAATTAGTTTTGAGAGGAGGAAGGATGTGTTTGGTGGAGGGTCAGTGTTAATGTCACCTAGTAACTCCTTGGGCGGTCTTCTTCTGAAACAGTTGAGGGAACCCAGACGTCAGTAAATCAGATATTTTAAACTAGATGGAAACTAATCTTCAATTATTGCTTGATTTGTATAAGATGTGTGGGGAGTATTAGCAGCCAGGTCAGATGCTCTGTTGTCGTGCACAACCTAAATTCATTCCATATTCCTCATACCCAAGTATGCTGCAGCTGTTCTCTTTCTCAGCCTCACTCTCATCCACTTCCATGCTCTTATGCCAAGTCCTCAGATGCACTTCCAAGGTTTCCAAGCTCCACATTCAACCACTTTCACCTCATTATTGCTGCATAGGTTCTCAGTCTCCCATTCACTCCCAGACCACTCCCCTCCTGTTATGCCAGGTCCTAAAATGCACTGTGGAGCTTTTCAAGTTCCACACCCAATCACTTTTGCCTCAATACAGCTGCTCAAGAGAGCTTCACACTTACTGTTAGGCATTTCCACATATGTACCTTGACTGCAGCCACTAAGTCTCCTTCCACACTTATGTCCCACTGGGCCTCCAAACCACCTTGACAGACACCAGTTCGTTGTCTGCCTCGCTCTTGATTACCCCTGGTGGAAATGCAGTCATCTGTTCTCCACTGTGGTACTAGGTGACACTTCACAGCATCAGAAGGGAAAGAAATCTTCCCACCACAGGGCTACACTTGCTTCCATCTTCCCCTTTCATTTCTGCAGTGTCCCAAGCTCTTGTTACCCAGAGATGAAGGGTGAGATCTTTGAAAAGAATGTACTTAATTCTCAGAACAAGAGCTGTGAATGAAGACAGAACTTGGAGGTAATGTGGCTGAATTGAAATGAGTACTCCTGGGTCTTCTAGTGTGAGAGTTTAATTCTCAGTGATAGATTCTGATTCAGGAAGCTTTGTGGACAGAATTCTTTGGTGATCAAATTATTGATGCAAGATAGTGCAAGGAAAAGTTCTGCTCACATCACATCTTAGTGATGCACTGTTTCCCGATGTAAACTCAGCTTACATTAGAAGAATTTTGTGATGTAAAATTCATAGATGTTCTGGTTTAAATAGATACAAGCCCAAAACATCATGGACTGGTAAGATAAGATTCTTCTCTTTTAGAGAGACATCCAAAAAGATGTGTATTTTCTCTTTTATTAGGTTGGCTGGATATTTACAGACTTAGTCTCAGAAGATACCCGAAAGGGTACTGTTCGATATAGCCGCAACAAGGTAAGGAAAATGCAGTGTAAAGTGAAAAGTTTCTACTGTTTTTAGCTTAATCAGCTAGTTTAGACTAGAAATTTTTGTAATAAACCGGTTTTATTTTGTATTGACAAGGTACTTTTACAGTCCTCCACTGAGTTTCATATTAAATTATTTTCCAGAAGAGTCCTTGTGATAAATTAGAGCTGGAGTCATTGACCCTCCTGATATTAGTGGCATGTGATCCATTTTTATCTTAATAGGTACATTTTATCTGTGCATGTTCGTGGGAGATGCTGTATGCTGTTTCAGAGTAGCAATTCTGGATAGTCAGTTTCAGTGAATGTCATTCATTAGACATTAAATGCCTACTATGTATGAGGCACTGTGCTTTGTGCAGAGAATATAAAAGTGAAATCAGACAGTGCCCCTAAGGATCTGGTAGATATTAAATTAAATTAGTAAGTACAGTGTATATTAGAATATAAGTCCACAAAAGAGTTCCAAACTGAAAGGCTACAAGAGATTTGAGGAGAGATCAGCTGGACCTTGAAGGAAGAAAAAGAAGTGGACAGATATGAATGTAAAAGGGAGTCCACTCCAGGTAGTTGAGGTGTTTTTTCCTTCCCCTCAGTTAAAAATGATCTCTTCCTTCTTATATTGTGTCAAGGGCCTTTTCTCCATTTCTTCATCTTTGTATCCTAAGTGTTCACCTTGCATTGTGCCATTCATGTAGATGATTACTAAATGATGGTTGAATTGGATTGAATTTTATCTAACACTTGAACATTACCGTCTTGCATTATATTCTGTTGAAATGAAAAGGAAATAGGAATGCATTCTAGTTTGGGTTCTTATGTTCTAGGACACATATTTTCTGAGTTCAGAAGAATGTATAACTGCAGGAAATTTCCAGAACAAGCATCCCAACATATGTCGGCTTTCTCCAGATGGTCATTTTGGATCCAAGTTTGTAACTGCAGTAGCTACAGGTATAAACTGGTTTAGAGTCAAATTTGTAATATCACTATTTTGTGTTTTTGTGTATTTAAATGCATTTACCTTCTACCTTTAAGAAGTTCTTTATACTTAACTGGCGTGGTGCTAATCCATTCTTATAATGGGCCAATGAGGGACCGAGGAGACAGTTGTTAGTCCCCATTTGCTTGTCAAGCAAGACTCCGTCCAAGAAGGTGACTTTATCAGAGTCAGCCTCACAGTTAATGGCAGACATGGGAATCCAACTTAGTCTTGTGGTCCAGAGCTCTCTCCATTAGACTGTTGCTTTTGGCGAATTAATTTTTGGCTCCCTTGGGTCTGGACATGCTTCTCCCCACTCCCTGAAACAAGAATGTGAAGTCCAGCTGTGTGGGATAGTGGTAATTTGTTGTTTCCCAGTGCTGCTGAAATTTGCCTCTGACCACCCCAATAGCAGGAGGCATTTTCAGTTATTCTTGTAGTGGCTCACGAAAAATACATACTAACGGAAGACTGGTGCTTTTTTTCTGTGTTCCAGCTTGTTCCTTTTGTTTTTCTGAATGTGGTGGCCATTTTGAGGTGCCATTTCCATAAAGCTTCTTTAGGGGCAAAGTGGTGTATATATAACATGTATATCTAAGTTTCTCCATGTCTACACACACACACACACACACACACACACACCCACACACACACACACACTCTCAAAACAGTACATTTGTGGTAGAGTTATTAAAAATTATGGCCTGTTAAGAGGCATCATGAAATGTCTTCCAGAAAGTCTTGAGGTGCTATAGTAGAAAAGAGCAGTGCATAGCACCATCTGTTTTGAGAGGAGTTGAAATTTGAATTGGAGGCCAATTTGCAGAACCATCAATCAGTGTTTATAGAGTACCCATACTATACTGGACATTGGCATTGTGGGGGGTTTCAGAGGGAGCAGACATCTTCTCTGCCTTTATAGAGCTTACATTCTACTTCAGTTCATTTAACTTTAATTCACTCTATGTGGAACCTGAAAAGATTGAGGAAATCTATGACTTAACAGTTACAAAACTTATAAACAACTCATTCATAGAAACAACTATTTCTGCCATGCCTTCTCTTTCCACCCAGTTGCTGCCTTTTCTTGGGAACCATCATGAGAAAGCATGGAGCTCTTAAGAGGCAGCTCCTGAGGATTCACATGTAGGGGAGGGAAGAACACGTCAGGAACAAGCACATTTAGGGGGAGGGAGCTGAGGCTTCTGAGATGGTGATGTCTCTTGGCCCCCAGTGTTTTCTTCCATATTGTCTTGGGTGGTTCCACTGAAATTGTACTTATTAGAAATTCACTTGGGTTAATAACAACCTTTTTATTTTTATTTTAAAAGTTTTGATTGCAATCTTTTTTTTTTATCGTTTTCATTTTCAAGTGTGTTCCTAGCTTCTCCCTGATCTAGAGAGCATCTTTCGTCCAAAGAGGAAATTAGCCAATTCATCAAACTAACACACCCACAAGTGATAGTATGTGTATTGTTTCACACCTGTTGCTCCCACTTCTGTGAAGAAGAGGAAAGGTGCATTTTTTCCTCTCCATCAAGGCTAAGCTTAATCATTAAAATTAAGAAGCATTCAGGGTTTTCTTTCCCTCTTCTGTTTACCTTGTCATTTATATATATATTTTTAACTAGTTCTGCTTCACTGCATCAATTCCAGTCTTTCCCTGTATTCTTCATATTTGTTATTTCCTACACTGCAGTAATATTCCTTTACATATGTGTGCCACTGTTTGTTTAATTATTCTCCAGTTAGATGGGCATCTACTTTGATAAACATTGTCTTTAAAAATACAAATACCACTGAGTGGCTAAGAGGCTTGTAGTCATTCACACATTTGTATGAATTAGTTCAATCAGATTACATTTGTTCTAATATCTGGCATAGTTCACTTCCCTGAGGGAGTAGCACTTTTGATTGAGTAGAAAGGAAGTGGGAAATTTTGAAGCACAGAGCCCTTTAGAGGGATGAGGTACATCAAGTGGGGGTATCATAGGGATATGGAAGTTAGAGACCTTGTCTAGTGGGAGTATTGGGGAGTTGGGGAGAGAGGCATGAAAAGAGAGGAGGGGAAGAGTAAAGAAAAGTAGGAAGGATACCAGAGGTAGAGTTGGCTTTGTTCAAAATTTTACCTTGGGCCACAAAAGGAAAAGGATCTTTTTCTTCCGTTTTCTCCGTGTACCCTTCCACCAGAGCACCTATTAGTGCCATTAGAATTATAGTCCTGTTCCATTATAGGCTAAATATACTCTTATGAGCTAGCCTGAGAATCTAATAATCATTTATAACTTATTTTCTGTCAGATAGAAGATTTTCTATCTATCAGATAAGATCCTGAGGTCTGAAAAACCAATTTATATTACAACTCTCTTCTGAGTTATAAACCATATACCTTCATCTCTTAAGAGACAGGAAAAAAATTGGACTTGCAGTCAGGAGACTTGGTTTTGAGTCTCAGCACTTGACAAGTCATTTAACCTTTAGCCTCCATTTCCTCATTATAAAATGGATACCATAATATATGCAGTACTTATCTCAGGGTGGTTGTACATAATGTCATGCTTTGTAAGCCGCAAAGCATATCCATGTTACTATATGTTTATTACTGGACTACCCTGCTCTGAGTGATCAGTGTTCTTAATACTCCATTCCTTCCATCACTAGATATTTGTTTGATAGACATTTGACAAATATTCTAAAAGTATAGATTTGAGAAGGTCCTTTAGTGTACCATTGGACCTGCCTTCAAAGGATTAATGCTCATAATGTGATGGTCTGTACTTATCTTTCTGATGTGAATTAATTTTCTTATTATGTGCCTCATCAGTATTATATTCAAAATAAAACTGTGCTTTCCACAGATTTAATGAGGGTTTTATTTTTTATTTTAATAAATGTTCAACTGAGGGTGGATGAATCCCAGACTTAGGTGGCCTAGATTGTAAAGGAGATAACCCTTTTTCTGACCGTATTCAGAATACTTCTTGCCTGAGCCATTCAGTGATAGTAAGCTTTCTTCAGTGAATTTGAGTGACCTCATAGAGCTATAGAGTAACTCCTAAGGTCAGAGTGAGAATTCTGTGTTCTCAGGTTAATTTCTTTGCCTCTTCTCTGGGTGGCGCAAACAGCTCACTCAAAATATTTTGGAAAAACATGACTCTGGGCAAGTCATTTAACCCCAATTGCCAAAAAAAAAACCCTCCCAGATTGAGACTCTCTTTGGGGGCAGCTAGGTGGCGAAGTGGATAGAGCACTGGCCCTGAAGTCAGGAGGACCTGAGTTCAAATCCGGCCTCAGACCAAACACTTGACACTTACCAGCTGTGTGACCCTGAGCAAGTCACATAACCCCAATAGCCTTTAAAAAAAAAAAAAGAAGAAAAAGAAAAAAATTTGGAATATACTTTTTTTGTTTTATTTATTTTTGGTGGCGGATATTTTGCTTTTCCTTTTTTGGATACCTAAAGCCATATTTAATTTTATGTCTAGAAAAGGGAAAGTGAATGCCTCAGAGCTAAAAGTGACCTTTAGATAACAATCCAAATTGGAACAGTAGATGTTAGTCACATAGTTCAGCTGCAGATTCAGTGATGTAGCTTCTTGAAAAAACAAAGCAATATAGCGGATAATAAAATCTCATATTTCTCTAACACTTCTTGGTCTATAAGTATTTTCCTCACAGCAACCCAGTGTGGGTGTCTAGTACAAGGAGTATTACTCCTATTTTACATTTGAGGAGACTGAGGCTCCAGAATGTTAAATGACACGCCCATGAGGCCATCAAGAGAGGATTGAAATCCAAGTCTTCTGATGCCAGTCCTTTTTTTTTTTTCTTTATTCAGAACTTTACATAAACAGATTTCAGAATTTAATGAAATAAATTGGGCATCACTACATAGAGAGTAGAACAGAAAAACAAGATTGTACATGAAATTGTGAATCTCTGTTACATACAACTTTTTTCCTTTGATGAGCATAATAAATTTACTATATGACTTTCAAAGCTGTTCTGCTTGTCTTTGTTTCTTTCTGGCATTCTCTTTTTCTCCTGCACATTTAAAAAAATGCTTCAGTGACCCTCATTTCTTTCTCTTCTTCTTTTTTTTTTTTGTGATCCTATAGGTAGCTCCTTTCTCCCTTGCTTCTAAAGAGCTGATTTTTTTAAATAAAGAAAAATGTTGGATGAAGTACAGTGGAGCTTATTAGGTTTTCCTATTGCTGTCCCATCTTCAAGTTCTGAAACTTCATCATCACTTGGAGATGTTAGAAACAATATGTTTTAAGAGCTGTCTCTCTCCACCATCATAGTAACCTGTGTAAACTCCCTACAGCCCTAAGCATTCCAGCCTTTTGAGGACCTGTGACTCCAAATTATGAATTAAAGTAGAACCTTAAATGACTTATAAAGGAAAATGATGGTCAGTTGATTCAGGCTTTTTTTGAGCCTTAGCCCATATTTAGTTTCTGGGAATGTTAAAAAATGGAAGGTTAGGAAAAAAATTTGGGAGGGATGTCTGTTCCAGATAATTTCACACCACCATTAAATAAATCATCAGGACTTCAGATTCTTGATATTCCACATGGAAGGAGAATTTACAGTTTATCTCATTGAACTTACCTTTGGAGTATCTCCATATAGATTAATTTTGCTTTCTCTAACAGCCTTCAGTTTTACAAGTAACACTTTGCATTTTCCTCCTATTCTCAAAGGTAGAGAATATTTTTTTTTCTCTCTCCAGTGTTCTGTTACTTGTTTAATGATAAACTTGATGACCACTTCAGGTTATAAACACCCAAATTAAAATGTTAACCATGTGGTCTTCTCTCCCCTTTCCCCCTTATCTCAGTCCATCTCATTCTTCCCTTCTCTCTCCCTTCAAGCAGATAGAACCTGGTGTTTTCATGTGTGGCTTAATCATTGAGCAGCAACTTTGTACTAAGGAAGGTACATATATATCACATTCCCTCACCTCTAGGAGTTACTATTCATTTGGTTGCAGGCAACCATTTTCCCTGAAATACTCTCATAAAGGCCTTGCATTCAAGATTCTGGGCTTAGGTCTTCCAATTAGTTTAATGTATGACACTGAAATCAATATAGGCCATCAAAAGGTGGATAATCTTGTCACATGAACATCCTTGTTCTTAGTAAACATATTACCTTCTATTTTTGTGATAGGGAGCAAAGTGAAGCAAACATGCAATGATTTTCCAAAGATAATGGGTCAGAGCTATCACTGAAAGATAATTTTCATTTTTTTTTTTTAATAGGTGATGCCTGTCCCTAGGTAGGCAGATAGATCCCTTTTTCAGACTGCCGTGATACTAACTTTCAATCTGCTGAAAGGTTCATTTGCTCATGAACTAAGATTTTTTTTTATAACATCCTTAATCATTTTTATTTCAAGGATTGAGCTTATTCCAGTATCCTTGACAGCCTGTCTTCATTAGACTTCTCTCATACAGCTTTTATCCTTTCAGGTAGGATGATGCAGTAAAAAGAGGCTGAGAGTCAAAAGACTTGGGTGCACGTTTCATCTTTATCTCTTTCTCTCTATGACTTTGTGCAGATAATTTAACTCCTCTGAGCTTCCATTTCTGCTTCCACAAAATGGGAATAATACTTCTTTATACAGTTGTGGTGAGGATTCAGTGTGATAATATATGTAAATCACCATATTATAAATGTAAGCTATATTCTGAACCTGATTTTAAGTTCGGTAGTTCCGTTTTTGTTTTGAGAAGGGGGGACAAAAGAGTAGCCTGCTATGCATAGGACTGCTCGGTACAGTTGATTCTTCCTAGCATGTGCTTTTTGTCAATATTCCTTGAAGAGATGGGGTTTTCTGATATTTGTACTTTATCTCTGCTATATGCACCCTGGTGCCAGGAGGAACACATTAGGTAGATGTTTGAAAGGGTTGGTTTCACAGTTTACTTTTATTTCCCCAATTCATAAGAGGGTGCCACTGACTGTAGCCTGTGCATGAACTTAAAGTATGTTTACAGTAATCTTAACATAGCAATGTATTCCTAGGGACGGTTTTTTAAAAAATTGTAAAATAAAATACTTTAGAGTTTCACAAAAGTATACATGGAACTAAGCTGAATTGTGAGGGATTATCTTTCCTCTTTGAAGAAGATGAAGAATAGAGCTGTCAGGAAGTTATTTTCTATATGGTTGGTTGCAGTGTGTTTGTTCTAAAGGTTGCTTTCTCTTCCAGGTGGTCCAGACAACCAAGTTCACTTTGAGGGTTACCAGGTATCTAATCAGTGCATGGCATTGGTCCGGGATGAGTGCTTGTTGCCCTGTCGAGATGCGCCTGAGTTGGGTTATGCCAAGGAATCTAGCAGTGAGCAATATGTGCCTGATGTGTTCTATAAGGTAAGAAGTATGAAGTTTATGTCAAGAATTTATCTAACATAAGCAGTTGTTTTCATTTTGAAATACTCAGATCTATTGAGTGAATAGCCATTTGTCTACCACAGTTAACTTAGAACTCTCCTCGTGAACTAAGATACTGTAAAATTCTCAGGGATTGTAATTGGCCACACAATCTTCTCTTATCTTTGTTTTCAGTAAGAATCCTGAATGAATTATTTGGTTAGTTTTTGTCAGTTATCCATTGTGGTCTGGTTTTTATACAGATTTTTGGTCTTGTTCTTCTTTTGACTGGTAAAAATGGCATAGTTAATCAAGCAATTACAAAACCTCTTAAGATTCCTCCAAGTGGGAGGAGCTAGAAGATGTCAAGGCATATATATTCATTGATGAAATGTGGTAGAATAGTATCAGGAATTATGATCTTCTGAAGTTTGACTTGGATTCTCAATCCTACACAAATTTTAAAGTAATTTTAAATACTATTAGGTTTAAACATAACTAGCAAAACTGGATTGTCTGTAGTAGCCAAAATGCCTTCCAATTGGGAATTTGGTTGGCAGAATATACTCTTTATTAGGTATTTAATTTTTGATATCACACTATTTTTTAAAAACAAGAATGACTCTATGGTCATACTTCTTTTACTTCTTGGAATGAAAATAGTTAAAGGATTTTTAAAAAAAAAAGTATTAATTTACTTTGATTTAGCAACAGTCACTTAGTTTTTGAGTTTAAAATTTTTCTCTCCTTCCCTCCCCAAGATGGCGTAATCTTATATAGGCTTTATGTATACGTTCTTGTTAAACATATTTTCACATTAGCCATGTTGAGGAAAGAATTTTTTTAGAGACTAAGAAATGCCTGTTACAGATTTTTAAAAATGTAATGTGAATCAGTTTCCTGCTCTTAATGTTTCACTTTTGTCATCTTGTACCATTTATAAAATTTGCCTTTGTCCTTAATTATTATTATTCTTGAGTTTGTCCTTGGATTTCTGTGGTGACTGGTAAAAAAGAAAGCTCTTTTATTTTTATTGCTAAATATTAGTTTACTCTTGCAGTTGGAGTAGGACACATAAGAAGAGTCTTGTGTTCTTATAAATGCTACTAAATGATAATAATGGTACTTTTTTTTTTTCTTCAGGGAGAATGACAGAATTAGAAAACATGTTCAGTGGTGATCTCGGTTTATTTTGTATGAAACAACTACATTTTGTTTATGTGATATGAGTGATTTTTTTCTCTATTGTGTTTCTGATTCCATCTGTTGAATCCTGTGACTGGCCACAGGGGAATAGAGTTCACATGTCACAATCTTTTCCATCTCTATGTCCTTTGAAGTTCTTTGACATCCCTTTGGTCTTATATTCTGGTTGACTATCTTGATGAGGCGTGAGGATGGTATCTCTGTGACTGTAGTTAGTTTACTTCCTGTATTATTCTTATCTTCCTCTTCTTGGATACAGTTTGAAGGATGAAGATTTTTACTACTGACCAATTGTTTAGACTTGAGTGCCATTTAATCCATTTTAGACCTTGGTCATAGTGTAATCTGGTATACTAGTTCTTATTAATAAGACACATAAGTCTACATTTTATGACATTGGTATCTATATTAGCTTTCACTCTAAAGCAGGGGTTGTTACTCTGGAGTCTGTGAACTTTTTTTTTGAATTCTATTCTGATAATTTCATTTAATGTATTTTATTTTTTACATTTAAAACATTATTTCAAGAAGGAGTCCTTAGTCTTCATTGGGTTGCCAAAGGGGTCCATTAACACACAAAAAAGGTTAAGAACCCCTGCTTTAGAGCAAACAGGATGAACAAGATACTGACAGCATTCTGTGGAAATTACGAGGCTCTGATAAATTTTTTTATGACTTGTGAGAGTGTTTTTGTTTTTGGCTAGGCAGTGGGGTTAAATGACTTGCCCAGGATCACACAGCTAGTAAGTGTCATGTCTAAGGCCAGATTTAAACTCGGGTCCTCCTGACTCCAGGGCCAGTGCTCTATCTGCTGTGCCCCCTACCTGCTCTGACTTGTGAGAGTTTGAACTTTGGGTGAGGAAACATGTTTCATTACAAGAGCTGGTTGATTGCATTTCTTATAATCTACATGAAAATGTCTTGAAGATTTGGTTGCCTTTTGGTGTTCCTGAAATTCATTATGATGAGTTTAAAATATTTTCTGGATTAGGAACCTAATGGGTAAGTTTTTCATAATGCTGTTGAGCTTTTGGAAAGCTGCTTGTTTTGTGTTTAAGGTGTAAGAGGGACTCCTGTAAATTCACATAATGAAGAGGAGTGTGGGTGAAGGAGGTCTGAGTTTCCCAGATACATTATCCATAGGGCACTTAGGGCAATTCATCTCATTTGCTGAGGCATCATTGAGCTTTAGTCAGAGCTAAAGGCATCTATGATCATCTGTGGCACAGATCCCCTTGCTGAGGTGTTGGTGGTGTGGGCCATAGCAGGTCTGGCTGCTCAGCCCAGTAGGGCATCAGAAAAGTCCTGTGAACTCCTTCCAATTTTTGAGCAGTTTGCTTGTGCTTGTCAAGAGTAAATACTTTGTGCTTTCTGGAACACAACTTGTTGGGAAGATTTTATTTTGTGTGCCTAATTAGGAGTAGATGTTGAATTGTTTTAACTTAAATTGTGTGGAAATGAATTGTATTGTCCTGTTTTTAAATAGAGGGGAAGAAGTACAGATAGTTATGGTAGGTAAAAAAAATCTTCTTTTAAGAAAGAATGGTTCTTTGCTTTTAGATTAGCTTTACTTTCCCTTTAGATTATTTCCTCTAAGCTTTTTGGATTGCAAGTTTTACTAATGTCTTTGAATTATATTGATACAAAAATCTAAAGTAGTAGCAATCTAAAGCAGTACAGCTGCAGGAAATTATTTAAAATGTTAAGTGGAAGAGTTAGATCTGGTAAGCAAAGAAGGGCTTCAAAGGTGATAAGCATGTTTTTTTCTTGTAAGTTATGTTATCTTTGTGTTTATGGAACAAGAGTTTAAGGCTCTGCCATGTCCCACCCATTTAAAAAAAAATTATAGCCAAGACTTAACAGTGAGACTCCTCTGGCTGACTCATTCTGATGGCCTCTAACTGTAAGTCTGAGGAGAACAGAGGAAAAAATGGCTTCTGTATCAGTTTTATAGGAAAACACTTATTAAGCCTTTATGTTTGTCTTTCTTTTGCTCTAAGAAAAAGCTTTTTGCTCTTGCTGCTTTTGTGCAACTTACCAGCCTTGATAGGGCAGACCTTCCTGCCTTTTGATAGGAAAGTATTTGTACATGAGTCAGAAAACTCATTAGGTTAGCATCTAGTTTGAGGGGCTAGCCATTGCTTTCACATTTGGTGAACCATCCAAAAGAATGTTGCCCAACCTGTAAAATGTATTCATGTGATTAAGTAGTTTTGACCCATTTTTAGAGCCTGATTGATGAAGATCTTGACAGCTACTAGCCACCTATTTACTTAGATTTGGAAGCCAGTTAGCACATTTTAATCAAACTTTCCAATCATTGGCCTTTCTTTGGAGGATTTCTTCCTTGAGCCACCTTTGGTTCCTTTAAGAAAAGGTGAATTCTGAGGACTAATTTGAATAACCTTATTCAATTTGAAAGTGTATTTTTTATATTGTTTAGTATAAAGATATTAGTATGAGTTTTTAAAGTGTTGAGTTACACATTTCTATATTTTTTTGTTATAGATCTCTTGAATTCTTGATTTCAGGCTTCCTTTCTTGTTTCCATATAATATATGCTATTTCCGTGATAGCTTTCTCTGTTAGGGGCAAGATAAGATTTGATATTAGTCATTAAATTTTCTACTGGATTTGGATATCTAAACATTACCTGGGGTTGATTTGGGGAGCAGGGGAGAAAAGTAAAATCTGAAGTTAATAGACTCTCGGAAATATTTAAATTATCCCATGTTAATACTTTTGTAGCTTTTTCTTGTGTTAACTTTAAAAACAAACCTTTCAGTATCAGCAGTAAGTAAAGATGCCATCCTTAGGATAATTACAATACCATTTTATTGCTGCTTTCAAGTCAGAGATCTCACCAAGAGGTGATAACAAATGCAAGGGGACCATTTCATCTGGGCAACTTATGCATTTGCAGCTCACTCTTGTCCATGGTGGGTTTTGCCAGGACACCCCCCCCCCCCCAAGAGGACCCCTCTTTCACTCATTTCTCTAGAAGCTGAGTCTGATGGACATTGACTTAAGTTGACTTAGCTTCCTACTTCCTGAGCATTCTCATGCCAACTGACTGAATCTTATCTAACTTGGATGGCTATAATATGAGCAAGTGAAGGGGGACAAACTCTCCCTTTTTGACATCTTGTGGTTCAGAACCTTCCTGCTCCCCATCTAACCATAAACTCTAGCCTGCATTCCCTATTTGAGGGACCTCTCCACTACATCAGTGAGTTTACCTCTTGACCTCTTGGTGTTTCCATGGTGATCTCCTAGGAAAAGACATGTTATAAGTTCTGGCCCGGTTAGCAGGATTTGACATGTTAGAATAAAGTCTATTTAAATCTCTCTTTTTAAATAAATAAATAATCAAGTGGGCTGTTCCTTACATAAAAGACATTTACACATTCCAGAAATACCACTTGTTTTATTTTTTTGTATTTGTGACACTGGTGAACTTTATATTGTGTATCAGCCTTAAGAGGCATTTCAGACTGGAAAGTTTAGTTTTGTCTGTTTTTCTGCAGTGGTTTAATATCTTTTTAATTCCTACAATAAGCAATCAGTAGACCCTAGACTGTATCGTAGATATGAAGTGTACATAACTTCTAAGCATTCTTACACATTCAAGTTCTTAATCAGGTTACATATCCAGCTTTTTCATTTAGTTGTCCAAAGGAAACTCAGCTAAGTATGTCTTTGATACAGGTCCTTTTGGGTGTCTATGTCCCAGATTTCAAACTTTTAGATCTGGGTTGTGAATAATTTACATGCAGTTTTTGTTTGCCCTTTCA